ATCTAGCAGTGTATGTGCAGAATCAGTGTGCTACAAGCTGTACATTACAAATAAAACAAATTAAATAAAGCCTGAGTAACTACACATACACCAGCACATGGGTTCCAAGATTCAATGTGGCTAAAATTACAACACTCCCCAAACTATCAATAGATTCAACACAATCTCAGTCAAAATGCCCACAGGCACATTTCTGTAGAAATTCTAAGATCTATAGGGAAACGCAAAGGTTCTGGACACGCAAAGTGATTTTGAAAAAGAACCACTGGAGGATTTTCATTATTTTACTTCAAGGCTTTCTATAAACCACAGAAATCTGGAGTGATTTTGAAGTAAGGGAAGATCTTGTATGTTAATGGAGTAGAATAGAAAACCCAGAAACAGTCCTACACATGCGTGATAAGTTGATTTGGGCAAATTTTCAAAGAAAATTGAACAACAATATGTAACAGAAATGAACCTCAACTATTACCTTATACTATACCTAGAAATAAACTAAAAATTATTCACAAGTAAATGTCAGAACAAATCAGTAAAGGTTTTAGGAAAAAAGATAGGAGATCTTTTTGACAGTGAATTAAAGTGATCTTAGATGAGAAACTCAAGCTATAACTAAAGAGCAAAATAAAGCATAGATAATAGGAGGTAGGGGGAGCTTTTTGTAAATGAGGAGGGGAACAAGAGTTGGAGGGAGCAGGAAGGGATAGGAGGGGAAGGGGACAAAAGAGAATTAAGATGTGTTATGCACATGTACAACCCCCCCCCAGTAAATGTAATCATCATGTACTGCAAACATGTACTAATCAAAAATGTTAAAAATTCCATATTCTGAAATGAGGGAAAGTTATCTTAGATATGATATAGAAAGTACGGCGGCAAAAGAACAAATGATAAATAACTTTATCAAAATCAAAATCTCTGGCTTTTCTATAGATACTTAAGAAAATGAAACAACAAGCTGAAAAGTGAGGGAAAATATTTGCAAAATATGTGTTTGTGTCAGTCATTTTCCCATCACTGAGACACAATGCCCAACACTCACAACTTAAAGAGGAGAGGTTTGATTTGGCTCACGGTATCAGGGTATCCAGTCCATGGATCCACGGCAGGAACATCATGGCGGAAGGGTGTGGTGGAGCAAAGATACTTAGATCATGGGGTCAGGAAGCAGAGCAGGGGAACACTGCCAGAGAGGAAGTGGCCAGGGATCAGACAAAGACCCCCAGGTCATGTTTCCATGACCCACCCAGAAACACAAAGTAGTGTGCTTGATTAATTCCCATATTAACTTCTTAATCCTTAGTCCCTTTGTTAATTTTAGTCCTATCAAGTTGGCATGTCATAATTAAGTCACAAACAACCCCTTGTCAATTTAACATCCAAACACATCTCTGTAACCATACTTACTCTTCAAATAAACACAATAATAAGTAAGATGTCTGCCGAACCTGTTGCAACTATCCTGTGTACAACTGAGAATGTAGTGAATCCTTTCCCCAAAGCCTGAACAGTTCCAGTATTTTTCAGTAGTCCAAGTCCAAGTCTCTTTTGGGATTCCAGACAAACACTTAGCTGTGAACTTCTGTAAAAATTTAAAAAAAAAAAACAAGTTTTATAAGCTCTGTATACAGTGGTACAATAGAAGCATTTTCACTCCAAAAGGGAGAACTAGAAGGATAGAAAGGAATCTACTCAAAGCAAAATCTGAAATCCAGCAAGGTGTGCATTAAGTCCTGTACCTCTATATCCAGCGTACAGGGCACAAGGTGGTGAAACGTGAGTTCTAGAAGGCTTGGATGGCTTAACCCACAGGGCCTTGCTGGTTGTAGCTCACACAGTCTTTGAACTGGTTCCATTCATAGCCTACAGATTTCCTTGGCAGATGTTCCACATTCCTGGCATCCCTAACTCCCTTGGGTCTCTACTACACCTTTGGCTTTATTCCTATAGCTTCATACACCTATTTCTCAGGGACTTCTTGCCTGGACTCCCAGAGCTTCCTTTGAAATTTGGATGAAAGCTCCTCTAACCCACCACTCTTGCATTCTGCATGCTAGTACAATCAGAATCACATGGACACCAAGGTCTACTGGCACTGGAAACAGTAGTTGGGCTACCTTGAGCAATGGCTGCAGCAGCCTCTGAGTGTATGAATGGCTGAGGACAGTGAAATGAACCCCAGGGAGCCAGTTCTCTAGGAAGTCCTTCTTCAGCAGGCTTCCTAGGGGCCCTCTTCTCAAATGAAAAGGTCACATGTTTGCAGCCTGTGATGCATTCCAGCATCCTAGTCCCTTCTCCAAATTTTTCCAAACACCGTTATAAACCAGTTCCAAAGGCTTCTAAACTACAGGGTCAGGAGTAGGCACAGCAAAAACCTGCTTCTCTAGAGCCAGCTTTCTATGTTAGCAACTTAACTGTTGCTCACAACTTAAAGGAGGAGGGGTTTAATTTGGGTCATCATTTCAGAAATTTTCAGTCCATGGTCAGCTGGCGACGGGACAGGAACACCATGGGGGAAGGCTGTGGTAGAAGAAAGATGCTCAGTTTATGGGCTGGGAAGCAGAGCAGGGGAACAGTGCCAGAGAGAATGGCCAGGGATCAGATATAGTCCCCGAGATCACTTCCATGACCCACTCACACACACCAAGAAGTGTGCTTCAGTGATCCTCTGGGCTTTTCTTAGTTCAGTTAAATTGATCTTATGATTAATAGTCACAAATATTAGCTAAAGGGCTTTTCTACAGAATTTATAAAGATGACTATAATTCAATAATGAGACTGTAATCCAATTAAAATAGGCAAATATTTGACCAGACATTTCATCAAGGAAGACAAACAAATAGCAAATAAGTGCAATGAAGGTTGTCAGCAAGTCTGGGAATTCTTTTAACATCAAGGAGCAAGGAAGTACTCAAAAAGTGATGGAGGGTGTATCCAAAGAACACAAGGGCCCCCAAGGACCAAAGCTGGGACAATTGGAATAATAAAACAAAGAATAGTAGTACTGGACTATAACCCACTGTGTAAAATAAATATTCCCGAGTAAGTACTGATACAAACAAGCAAATGGGAGAGAAAGAACTGCCCTTCCTTCCAGTAAAACTCCAGTGCACAAATGTAGAAGTAATAAAGGAAATAGAAAATCACCATTAGGCAAATGCTGCAAAAGTGGTTGCTGAAGGCGAGGATGAGAAAAGATACTGAACTCACCAAGTAAAATAATGAAGAAACACGCTTTGGCTGAGTCTCCAAGAACCCCTCATAAGACTTTCATTACCACAGGCATCGAGGGACCATCTTTAAAGTAACTGAGCAGTACTCACCAAAAGTGTCATAGGCAAAGAAAGATGAAAGACCCGCTGAGGAAATCCGACCAGAAAAAGAAACACGTGGGAAGTGGATAAAATTCAATTTGCTGTATAATTAGCCTACCACATATTAATTTCCTGGTTTCCACCATTGTCTGTGGCTTTTTAAGATTTGGGAAAGCAGACTGAGGGGTGCATCAGAACTCTCTGAATCACTTTCGCCACCTTTATGTCAAACTCAATTTTGAGTATCCACCATCATTAGGAAGACACGAACTAACCCCACGAGGAGGTAGTACACACCAGAGGAACGGCGAGAATTAGTGACCATGACCGCAGCCAGTGCTGATGAAGGTGCAGAGAAGCCAAACTTTAACATTTTCTTTACTGGGGCAAAATACACATAACATGCGAAACACCTTCAGCAGACTTGTGCAGCTGCACCTCTGTCCAGTTCCAGAGCATGTTCCCTCAACGCACACCGCAGACACACCCTGTCCTCCTGTTTTAAAGCAGACCCAAGATCGCTTCCGGGCAGGAGCAGGAAGACACACGCATGAGAAGGGCTGCCAAGGAAGGAGTCACAGTCGCAGGCCCCTGATACAGGACGCACAGACCTAGCTGCGCCACGCACAGCGGCTGGGGGTGGGGGGAAGGGGCAGCACCGGAAGCGGAAGCAGAAGAAAGCGTGCAGGGCTTTCAGGGATGGGCGGCCCGAGGGGAGGTGCGTCTGTGATCGTGCTGGGACTTGGCGGTGTGCACACTTTCAGCAGGCTCTGGGCACTCCGGGGGTCCTCCGCTATGCTCTGGGCTACAGGGAGCTGCTAAGGTCAGGGGTGGGCTTGCAGTTGGCTCACACATCCAGGCCGATGCCGGGGGGAGTCTTAGGATCTCCAGGAATTCTCAGGCTTCGCGGGGGCTTCCTGAGTCTGCACTGCACCCACAGGCGGGAACATCATGAGGTACAGAACGTAGAAGATACAGTTAATGCCTCCTCCTCCGCAGGTAGTGCACACCAGCGGCCCCTGGAGCCGCTGATCTGCTTCCGGTCCCTCCAGATGGGCCTGTTCTGGATTTTTCACATAGATGGAGCCATAGAGCAGGTGGCTGTGGTTTCTGGCTTCTTTCACGAACCTATGGTTTTCAAGGCTCATCCTTGTCAGCGTGTCTGTGCCTCGTTCCTTTTGGTGGCTAAGTAATATTCCACCACAGGCTGTAGCATATTTTGTGTATCCATTCCTGCACTCGTGAGCATTTGGGTTATTTTTGCACACGGTGACTATGCACAATAAATATTCATGTGCATGTTTTTTTCAACACTGCTTTTCAATTCTTTTGTGTAATTATCACAAGTAGGACTCCTGGGTCATATGGGCATCCTACCCCAAGGAAAGAATTCTAAAGGTCTTTCCAAATGCAAAACACAAATACTCAGAATCTGGATTATTCCAGTGCTAGGCAGGAGAAATTTAACTTGCAGGAACTGCTGAACTGACATGTATGGGGGGCACCTTCATTTTACATTCTCACCAGCAGAATGCAAAGACTCCAAATCCTCCACTTGGGTCCCAACTTTTGGTGTTTGCTGCCTGGGGAATTGTTTGTTCCTTAGAGCTGTCTAAGCCAGGCTTTCTGTGGGAAAGCCTAACGGTTTACCCATTCTGGAAAATAGTTCTCCAGGGTCTCAGAGAGTCTTGCACACATTTTCATAGGGCTCCGCCGTCCCATTCCTAGAAAGATGAGAGAAAAAAAGTTTGTCAAAAAATACTAAAAGAGGAGAACTGTGTGTCTACACAAAGACCAAAATCACTCTGTCTTAGTTACTTCTCTTGTTGAGAAAAAATACCCAACACCCAAAGTTAAAGGAGAAAAAGTTCATTTTTAGCTCAGAGTTCATAGAGGTTTCAGTCTGTCATCAGCCAACTCCGAGACAGGGCAGCATGGCAGGAGAGAAACAATCCATAGCAGGGGAGAAATAGTTCATGGCAGGGCAGGCAGGAAGCAGCAAGCAACCAGCAGTGAAGTGAGCCTCCCTTTTCCTTTTATTCCATCCAACCTACAAGCCTTGTAGGTGGTGCCACCCACACAGAGGGTGGGCCTTCCCATATTCACACCCAACTGATGGCTAAACCAATCAGTTGACTAACTTAGTATCACACATACCTGATCCAGTATCATACGCTAGATCTAGCCACCTCCATAAAGCCCCATCTATGAGTGCAAGAGGCTTTGGGTCCTCTAGATACCAGCTCATCAAGGGTCTCATCTCGGTACCAGCTTACCATACTTTAAACTGCAAGTAACCAAATGTCCATCAGCCAATGACTGGATGCCAAATGGCAGGGATCTATAATAGAATGCTGGGTAATAGAATGGAGCAAGCTATGAATACGAGTCTCAGGAACATTTTTCTAAATGACAAGGGGACATAAAAGGCTACATCCTGCGTGACATTCTGGAAAAGGTAAGACAGGGACAGAAAGGAGGTCAGTGATTGCCAGGCCAGGAGAGGAGGTGACAGGCTGCCAAGGGGCTCAAGAGAACTTTCTGAAGCAATGGGAATTTCTTGATGGTGGCAATGGTTCCACATTTGTCAAAATGTATAAAATCTTAAAATGGGTAAATTTTATTGCATGTATCTCTATCTTGGAAAAAATGGTAGATCCCAACTCTCTAACAGGCTGAGGCAGGAGACTTGCAAGTCTGAGCCCAGCCTGGCCAACTTAGTGACTTACTAAGACCCTGTCTTAAAATAAAAGCTAATAATTGTTTTTAAAATGTGGGGTATGCAGCTTATCGGGAAGGCCCTTTGTTAAAATCCCCAGTACCACAAAAAAAATTTTTAAACAGTGATATGAGAGTCAGTTCTCCATCCCATATGTCAGAGGGATCCGCATTCCTGATGGAGTGCATGGAGTCCAGACACTTGCTGGCTGCGGGTCTCAAAGTCAAGACCAGGAAAGTGAGAGGAAGATGCAATTCTTGGGGAAACTGAGTTAATTCCCCCCTCACCTACAGCAAATACAAGGCTGGTTTTTAAAACTAGATATCAGTTCCCTCTCCATCACCTTCTCCTTCACCTTCTGCTCTTCCTTCCTCTCCCTGGAATTGACCACTTCCCCTAAATCTGAGCCCAAAGAAAAAAATCTAGTTACTTGAAGATTCCCAATACTTGCACTATTACTGGTTATATGGCAAAATATTACAAGTGGAATCACCTTAGAAGAAGAAGCAGTAAGATTCCAGATTCCCTCCATAATAATTTTGTAGAAAAACAAGCAGTGCAAACATTTTCTTCCTTACTATTCCAAACCTCTAGCAATATCTTCACATCTCTCGGCCACACTTAGGGTGGACATGCTAAGCTGCTGGACCAGGCTGGCCATGGGGTGCAGAGTAGACTGAGGCTGGGGCAGTCCGCAGTCCAGAGACAGAATACACACCACATGGGAATCAGCCCTGCGTGTCCGCAAGAAGTAAGGGTGACTGTCTTCTGGAGCCAGCACTCATGACATTTCTTCCAGGGGAAAATATCAAAGAAATACACAAGGCGGTTTCACTCCATTCTCAGAGGTCAGAGAGCATCTCCCAGAGGCAGGTGAGAGGGGCTTTTCAAAGAGGAAGAGGGAAGACTCACCCAGGCAGAAGAGGAAAGAACGCAGCAGAGGAAGCCTGGTGCGAGCCGGCAGGAGCTGTCCCCAGGGCTTCTGACCACAGCAAATCCAACGCCCAAAGGCAGTCGGTGGGGTGAGAAAGCTGGGCATCCCGGGCTGCTGCTGTTCCCTCGTCCCTGCAGAAGATAATAAAATGAAGCGCAGAACCAGTGTCAAGTGAAATAAAATTCTAACAAAATGCATAGCCTGGGCTGAGAGTGCAGCTCAGTGGTGTAGGGCATGCTTAGCCTGCAGGAGGCCCTGGGTCCTGCCTTAGCACCAGAAAGAAATGAAAGGAAGAAATGCAATGTATCACCCTATGTGCTTACACAAACACATGTGCATAAACATACATAAACACATGCATACACAGACATGCACACATAAATACACGATCACACATACACATAGATGCACACTTACACATGAATCCACATACAAATGTTACATGTGAGTATGCCCACACTTCTTTCAGCCAGGATCTGACTCTCTGTCTCTTTTTCTCTCTCCTTCTCTCTTTCTCTTTCTCTCTCTCTACCTCTTTGCTAGTCACTGCATGACCTCCATAATGGAGAAATCTTCCATGCCCTCAGAAGGTTCCCTGACAGATATCTTTGATGTGTTTTTATACTTGAGATACAATCAGAGGTTAACACACATGTGTGATCCACGTTTATTGCTTTTAACATGTTAGGTCAAACTTGTGTCTTTATTCAGATACATGCCGAGGACTTGTCACCTTGAATTTTCAACTCATGGATTCAAAGTTGTGTATACAGTTTTAATGTAGATCTGCTAAAGCTCAGAAGTGTGCTGGGAAGAAAGACTGCAATTTGTAAGTTTGAAGTACTGGGGAGGACAAATTCCCGTGACCTCCTCGAGGCGGCTTACGGGCCAGCCATGTGGGGCAGGGGCTCTCTGAGGGTCAGGCGTGTGCCCCACACAGTCAGAGTGAAGAGACCCACATGCGGAGTGTCCCGCCATGCAGGGATCAGCCTGAGGAGGGAAGCAGGGACCATTCACCCCACCTTGATTTCACAGGGGAAACTGAGTCCCTGGATGAGGCAGGGGCTAACATGGGTTACCTCTGGCAGTGACAGGGACAGCACCAACTCCTGCCCTGCCCTGCCCCCCTGTTCTTTCCTGCTCCTCTTCACAGCCTGGTGCCGTGGCGGGTCCTGTGAACTTTTCCCTTTATGTTTCTCCTGCATGTCTACCTGTTCCTAGCCCGTACGTGTAACTAAGCGAAAACCGCTGCTGTGCCCGACGGGTGGAAGTGCCCTCCTCCTTAGCTCAGGCGTAGCAATGGGGCATTCATGACACAACAGGAGGAGTCAAGTCTTGAGTTCCTCCCTTCAACTGTCAGCTCCTCGGTATGGGCATGCACACACATGCACACACGTGTGCACACGCGGACACACGTGCACACACACGCGTGCACAGTGCTCTCCTTCCCACCCCACGCACGTGCGCACACGCTCTCCTCCCTGCCTACTCCCGTGTGCGCACACACAGCCTCCGGCTGGCTGCCGTGATCCTCCTCACCCTCAAAGTCAAACGTGGCCTCCGCTTCCTCCCCAGAACCCTCCTCGGGATCCCACGGCCTGCAGAAGGAACCCAAGCTCGAAACTGATTGCACTCCCTCGGGAGCCCAGCCCCTGTCCTCCAGGTTGCTTGTACCCCCACACCCTGCCATCCAGGGCCCTCCCCACCCAGGGCGCCAGCCTGCCTTCTGGTCCCCTGGACCCACCGCTGAAGTCAGCCAGCGGGGCCCCTGCTGGGCTTCTGTGCTGGAGCGAGATGGGAAGGACCGGTCTCCCAGAACCGGGCCTGGAGGGCCACGCCGCTCATTCGGAGCACGAGGAGGGGCCTGCACAGAGCGACGCGGAGGTGAGGGTGCGCGGAGACAGGGCGGTCACACCCTGGAAGTCCCGGCTCCAGCTCAGACGAGGCCAGCCCAAGCCCGAGCTTCCCATGGAGCAAGCTAATGAATAAGCTCCTTTTTCCGGTCCTCAGCTTTGGGTTGTATTTCTATCACTAGCAACCAAAAGGGGGCTGACCGCCGACCGCCGACCGCCGACCGCTGACCGCTGACCGCTGACCGCTGACCGCTGACTGCTGACCGCTGACTCGGGGCCCCCTACTGCAGGGACATGAGCGCCTGTCTGACGCTGTTGGGCCCCAGCACCTTTCTTTGCCAGAGTGCCCCTCCCCCTCCCGTGCGGGCGATGCAGCCACGCTTTGGGGGCGTCTCTCGCAGCCTGCACCCACTTCTCCCTGCTCCCCCCTCCTCTGCCCTCCACACACCGTGCTGTTCAGAGGTCTGTTTTGTGCCTCCTACCCCACTCCCAGCCCCTTGGTAGACACAGACTAAGTGGTGACTAAGTAAAGGCTCCGTGTGCGTCACTGCTGAGCGCACGTCTGCTCAGAAGCTGCGCTCCAGGTGGGGCGGCCACTGTGCGCACGGGGTGGAGCCAGCCGAGTCCCCTCCCCGCTGCAGAGTGTGCAGGAGGTGAATGCGCGGGGGCTGGGGCAGCGGGGGAGGTGGGAGGGAAGGTGGGCAGCTCGTACGCCGGTCAGGACCGAGGGCAGGACTGTGACCTTCGCGGGCCCTCTGAGCGTGTCTCCATCAGACTGCGTGGAGGCGCAGCGAGGTCTCCTGGAGCCATCGGGACTGACCTTCCCGGCCTGGGTCTGGTAGGGGCAACGTCACGTCTTCCTAGCTCACCAATGAAAGCCAACTGCAGGAAGCCCAGCCGCTCTCGGACCGCGCAGGGGCCGCCGGGAAGTCCTCGGAGACTGAGGAGCTCCGGCCGGCAGCAGGCTCTGCGGGAGTCCCCCCCACCGAGCAGGCAAACGCCGGCGAGGAGCAGCAGTGAGGGGAGTTCCTGCTTCGTGTTTCCCCGCTCCCTACGGGCCGCCGGGGTCCCCCACCCCAGGGGCCCGCGGTGAACGCTGCCCCAGCCGGGTGGAGAGGAGGGGTCTCGGGTACCTTGGCCCTATACCTCACCAGTCTGAGGGCCTCCGAGGAACGTGGGAGGACCCCAAGCCCCCCAGCGTGTGGCTTCTAACTTGTATTTCAGCGTTTCAGAATAATTCCAGGCAACTTCCAATTAAACACGATGGAGTGTCTGGTCTGCGTCCCCTCTCAAAGTCAGCAAAAGAAACAACAACTAAGCCCAGAGCTCAGAAGGGGAGAGTGGACAACAGACACATCTGGGAAGAGGACTGGGCCCAGCGGAGGGCCGGACAGAAGCCAGAGCCTGCCACGAGTCCACAGCTGGGCTGCCCAGAGCTCAGTTGGCCCCAAAGCAGGAAAACTGATAAGGAAAGCTGCAGTGCCAGCCCCGCTCCCCCACACCTGCCAGAAGGTTCTGGAAAGGGCCAGAAAGTTGCCCGGAGAATGGGAGCCACAGAGGGTTCAGGCGGGAGGATGCCCGGCAGCAAAGGACAATGGAGGGCCTGTGTGGAAAATGGGCAAATGTGTGCATGTCCACATTCTCAGTGGTGAGAACCCGCCCAGGCTCCTGCCCTTTCAGGACCTCAGGACCCCAGGCCAGGGCTCAAGCTGACGTTCAGGGCAGGAGGTGGGAGGTGTCCTCTCTGGGGACAGCAGCTGCCTTGGTCTGTTTTGCATTGTCGGAACAAACGCCCTGCTGCTGCCCAAAGTACAGAGAAGAGGCTCATTTGGCTTGTGGCTGGGGCAAGGAGGTCCACACAGCAGGGCTCTAGGGGGCTCGGGCTGCAGTCCGCTCCACAAGCAGCAGGTGACCTCACGTGGGCGGGAGCATGTCAAGGGAGGCTCAGGTGGAGAAGGAGTGGAGATGGGCGGCCGGGCTTGCTCTTCCACACAGCCAGCATCTGTCCCTCCACCCGGGACGCTCACCACCTCCCTGAAAGGGCCCACGTCCCTTCCCGTCACAGAGGGGATTTAGGTCTCAGTGTTAGGTTTGGTGGGGGCAGAACACATTGGGTATAGCAGGGGCCAGTGACACAGAAAAGATCGACAAATCCTCAAACTGGGTCTCCCTGAACTGTGGCTGGGTCCTGAGGTGGCTGAGTCCCGAGGTAGCCATCCTAAAGGGAGTCTCCCAGGGGCAGTGGGCCTCAGAACCAGGGCACGCGTGCATGTGCGCGTGCGCGCGCGCACACACACACACACATACACACACACATGCAATTCGCAATAAACTTTCAAACACTGAGCTCTTGAATCCAGGCCAGGCCCTGGAGCTGACACTGGTCCAGAGGGCACTAGCAAATGTGAGACATGGCACAGTGCATGGTTGTGGTTAGAGACCTGAACTCCTGCGAGGACAGCAAGGTAGCAGCCCACTGACGGCCAGGCTGCAGCTGAGGCCAGCTTAGCCCTGAACCAGGAGATGACCACACACACACAGTGACACCAAGCAGGGCTGCCAAACACAGAAAACCAACCCCAAACCCACCATCTGAGTGAAGTCCAGGCTACTGGCCCACAAAATTGTGAGCACATCAAATGGTTGATGTTTCAACCACTAAATTAGAGGGGTGGTTTTAAGTGACAATAGATATCCTAGACAAAGTTGAAGGATGAGAAGAAGTCAGCCTCACGGAGGTCTCTGAGGGCAGGTGGGGTTCCAGATGGGCTCTCTGTGCGGACAGACACCGAGCAGGGAGAGGCTGCTAGGAGACCATGCGAGGCCTGAGCGGAAGCACAGGATGTGTGGTCTGCGAGGTCACAGACTGCGACCACGGAACCTGCCAGAGTCGCCCTGCATTTCCTGGCACTGGCAGCACCCAGTGCTGGGAGATTGCGCCTGCCCTCCCTCCGGGGCTGGGGCAGGCACAGGGAGGGAGGTGGGCCTGGGACGGTGAGTAGCAGGGCCCAGCAGCATGCAATGCCTTTCTGAAACCAGGGGGTCGCTGCAAAGCTGTGCCATTGTGACCCAGCCTGTCCACCTGGGCACCCTCTGAGCACTGCCAGGGGCTGCTCTCTCAGTAGCTCCTACACTGTTGAGGCAGGTTGTGATAAGAAAGGCTGGATCCGTGGAAGAGACGTTGAATAGTAAAAGCAGTCCTGGGCAGCAAAGGCAAGGCAGGAGGCATCACAATCCCTGACTTGAAAGTATACTACAAAGCTGCTGTGATAAAATCA